CTTACTGCATTCCCTATGCCATGCTCCCCATCCCCATGACCATCTATCAACTACTAATTTGTACTTTTTTAACCCTTCACTCCATTCTCTCAGTCCCCCAACCCTCCTCCTCTCTGGCCATCACCAGATTGTCCTCTATATTTGTGAGTCTGTTTTTGATCAGTTTGTTCTTTTTGTTCCTTAGATTCCACATAAAAGTGAAATCATATGGTATTTATCTTTCTCTGTCTGACTTATTTCACTCAGCATAATAACCTCTAGGTCCATCCATGTCATTGCAAATGGTAGGAGGTCATTTTTTTTTTTAATGGCTGAGTAATATTCCATTGTACATATGAACCATGACTTCTTTATCTAATCATCCGTTGACGGGCATTTGGGTTGCTTCCATACCTTGGCTATTGTAAATTGTGCTGCCATGTTGAAGTTGAAAAGAAATAAAATCTTCTCGTTTCTTGATCTGCTCATTCTCCGCTGTAGGAATTGTTCCATCACCACCTGTGATCTGAGATATCTTTCCCAGGAATTGTGGTAGTTATCCCTGGCAAAAAGAAGTGACTCCTAGAATACAGTGTCATTACTATTTGGGGATATCCAGGATAGAAAGGGAAGATGGATTGTTCTCACCAGGATGCTAAAGTCTGTGCTGTTGTCCAGAATCCACAGTCTATGAACCTAAACGGAGTTAGAAGCTCTCTTTCTACAGAAACTGACTTAGGGACTACGCATTTGCCATAACTGAGAAGGAGGAACCGTCTACATAAACTATCTCCTTTGGTACAGAGCAGATGCGAGGCATTGCTGCCTCTTGGCAAAGTTACACAGTTTTGACAAGCACAACTCAGGCACTGGCTCTTATTTGAGACTTTCTTCTCATCCACTGAACCCCAGTAGGTTTCCATTTCTCCCTGGAGCTCTGTGTTCTCAGCACTTACATGCTGCCCTGATGGTGAGTTTTACCTAGTGACTCAGCCTCCACAGTATTTTGGGGGCCGGTATTTGCTTTTTCAGTCCTATATTTTAGTGGCTGCCACCACTGCCCTTATTAAGGACTTGCTCATGTCAAAGACCCCTGTCCCTAAAGAAAGTTGTCATTCCCCCTCACCTTTATTTTGGCCAGAAGATCTCCACATTTTCAGGCTGAAGCTGCTCTGGATGCTTCTTACTGCTGTGCCCCTGGGGGCCTAAGGAAGACCAGTACATCTGCCTTGTGTCATTAATAGCACCATTATTCCTGGCTCTCTGCTGCTTTTGAACTCCGTAAAGCTCTCAGACACGTTTCCTCAGGGCTGGAGATGTCTACTTGCTTACCTTCTATATTACCTTGAAACTGAGCAACTCTTTAATACTTTTGCTTTTGATCTAATAGATGAATGAAATCATGATTACCACCTTTTTACCAGTAACCAGATCCTTAAAGTATTTACATCTCCTCTACAGAGCCCTTGTCTTTTGAGGAACTCAGTCCTGCCCTTAACTCTGGGAATGGTCCAGTTTGGTTAAATCCAAGCTGCATAGTCCATTCCTCCAGCAAAAATCACTTGTGAGTATGTGACCCACGCTAGTCCAGTCGGGATGAATCTCTGGACTTTCTTGCAAAGTAAAGAGAAGCCTTCTTTCTCCCTCTACTGGTCATGAAAGGGGAAGAATGAGCCTGGCGGCCATCCCATAACTCTAAGAAAAGTACATTCTAGAACGTATATGCAAAAATAATTGATATTTTTACTAAAGTATCACGTTGGAGGATTACTTATTCCAAAGAATAATTGGCCAAACTAATACATATATAGTATGCATGTATGTATGTGTATATATACATATATACACATGTATATATACACACGTGTGTGTGTGTGCGTGCGTGCGTGTGTGTGTGTGTGTGTGTGTGTATTCTGTTCTTTGAGGGTAGGTTTTATTTTTTTTTAAAGCTAGAAATTACTCAGAACCAAGAGTAAACAGGTAGATGGTCAGTTTGAGTAATAGTATTTCTGGGTTTTTAAAAAATAGAACTTTTTACTTGTGAGTGGCTTCTCCGGGGCCAAAATGCTGGTCCTGAAGGGAGCATATCCTTCTGAATGTTAAGTAAAGCCACGTACATTCATCATGAGAAGAACAACTCTCTACTTCATAACTCCACCATAGTGAGCTCTGGCTTTCCTCTGATATTATTAAATATTTAGATTCTTCTGAAATCTCAAAAGAGTTAATCCTTAACAAAAGTTTGAGCATCTGAACATTCTTTCTTAAGGGCTAAAACCCCAAGTTTGCTTTGTCAAATGGCCAAGGCAACCACGAACACTGCCGTATTAACACCTGCACATGACATCATAGAATCAAATGCAGCAAAGAGGATGTTTAGAAGTTGAACGTAAATTTTGCTTAGTCTGGCACTCTCAGCCAACCAAACAGGACATGAGGCCAGATGGCTCCCTATCTGTGTGGCCTTCCACGTAGCTGAGATGCATTCGAAGTTCCTATTTCATAGAATGAAATGTTACCACTTCCTTTTAACTCTTAAAACCCCTTATTATCCATTCCAACAAAGGAGATAGACATAATAAGCTTGGCAAGAATCATTTAATCCATCAGTGCTCCAAGAAATTCTATGCGCATACTGATCTGAAGACACCAAATTCAGTGTTACTTTTAAAAATACCTTTAGTGAAGGAGTTTCTCTCAGTAATTGAACCTGCTTTTTTAAACAAATAATCGTATAGTATCTTTAAGACTTTGTTAAGAACATTATAGTACAGATCTTATCAATATCTCTTTTGAGGAAGCTTACTTGAGGTGGGACATGAAAGAGTCAGATTATTTAATAACCTAACTAGCTTTTCTACAACCTTACTTGCAAATAATATTTTGCAGAGGAACAAATAATTGAGTAGAGATTTTTATTTGGGACTTGGATTTCCAAATCCAAAATAGAAAATGGTCAGATGACTTTTTATAGCATCTTTTTTCAGAGATGCTTTAAAAACAGCGATCTTGTTTGCCTTCATGAGACAATTGTGAAGTTAACATCCATTTTCATTTTTTAAACAGCTTTATTGAAATATAATTGACACACAAAAATCTGGATGAAATTAATATATACAGTTTTATGTATTTGGAGATATGCATGCATATGCAAATATGAATTTGCAAGTGCCTAGAGGAGATCCGATTTTTCTCCTTAGGTAATTTAAGAGATAAAAACAATTTTAAGAAGCTTTGTGACCTTGTAAGATGATTCATTTATCTAAGTGCAATAAAACAAAATGAATATTATGGGCCCAAATTAATAGAAAAGTTAGTGAACAAGAATCCCTCCTTTTAATTTATTTTGATTAAAAAAGAGCTTTTTGTATGGAATTCAAACAAAAGGTACGGTACAAATTTAATTGTGAATAGTGCCTAGTATATTAACATGAGAAGCAGAAAGTTTATCTACCAAACTAATGTGACATCGAAGCATTAAAACACAAGCCACTTTATTAATCAATGTTGTCAGCACCCTAAGCTGTCCAGGTAAAACTGACTTCCTCTCGAAAAAGAGAAATATACTGAAGGGAGATGCAAGGAGCTTAAGGGTGGTCCCCAGATTCCTGACAGCTAGGATAAAGTCCACAGCAGTGGTTGTGGGAAACTGAGTCACAGGGAAATATAGGAAGCTTGGAAAAGCCTCATTATGAGAGCCATCGAAGGGGTGGAACAAAGGAGTCTGAGGAAACCAGCTGTGAAATGAACATCTACGTGTGGGAAACACAGCTGCAGAGGCGCTAGACGCAGGACCCACGTCTAAACCCAAGTACCCAATCAGGAAAAGAAATAAGACCAGAACTCTAAAAATTAAGATTACGAGCCTGGTCACCTCACAGATAGAAGATTCCTCATTTGTTCACCCACTTTACTTTCTCTGTGAGCCTAGTGAGCAGAAGTCAGTAGCAACGAATGTACTCTTTTCTCTCTTGGTTTAAATTTCAGAGGGGTTCTGAAGAGGCAGTGGGTTCAGCTGAGATTACAGTGGGAAGAGCTTATTGAAGCAGGGTTGACAATAGGTCTTGTCATTCTGTTCCTTGAAGATTCCCTTTGACAACTGTGTCAGGCAGAAGGCACATACGAAGTGCTCAGGGTGGAACTTGTGGCCCATGGCACTGATGCAGCGGCCAGTGATGGGCTGTCCACATCCATAGCAGAGGGTGCCTCGGCGGTGATGGTAATGGAGCTCACAGAACGGACGTCCGTCCAGTTCAAAGAAGGAGCCAGTAGAGAAACTGCTGAAGCAGTCCTGGGGGTGGAGAGAAGAGAAAGAAAAGGAATGCAGATGTCAAGAAGTAAAACAGCAAGGTCAAGCCCTCAGCCTTGAAATTCCTGCCAGTTACCTGCTCGTTGCAGGAATTTGCTCAGGTCTTTGCCAAACAGAGGCTATGACATTGCCCACTTGTAAAACAGACAAGGACATGCCCACACCAGATGTTGTGTTTTGTGGCCCTTTAGAAAGCCTACATCCACTCCTCATCCCAGACTGTGAACCCTCTTAGCAGATGCAGTTCTGCTTCTCAGACGGATGAACTGCTGATTTTCCCTATTTCCAAAAGATAAGAGAGTATACCGACCCCACAAACAAAGCACTCTGGGTGCCAGACAGCGTCCATGGCTGAAAGGTAGTTCTCCAACACTGGGCGGTTGCAGCCACCACACTTGGGTGAGAACATGGCTAAGAAATCTTTTCGGCAATATGGCTTCTTGTCCTTCTCGTGAAAGCCTGAGAGAGAAAAATCAAGGGTTCACTGTTGCTGTTTGAGACAGTGAGACATGTTGGAAGCAGCGAAGAGGCCAATGGCTCCAACTCTCCCAAAATCAGTGTCTTCATATTCAAAATGGGGTGAATAACAGATACCTACCTCCAAGGGCTGTTATAAGAAACATGGATAGGGCAGGTAAAGGGTTTTAGTATTGTACCTGGTTCAAAGCAAGCATTTAACAGTGTTAAGATCTTTTCCTCCTCAATGCCTACCTCAGTCCTATACTTCCGTTAGCCTGTTCAGTCCTGTCTCCGGCCTTGATATGGCTAGCCTCATCTCGTGATTCAGAAATCAGTTCAAAAATCATCTTATCAGAGAGGCATCTCTTCAGCCGTATCTATCATTTCTTTTTTTATTGTCTTTATAGCACTTACCTTTATCTGAAAACATCTTTGTGGTCTGTCTTCCCTCATTGGAAGTATACAGCATCCACCGTCTATAACCTATCCTTGACCCTCACCCATAAAACAGGGGTCCCCAATCCCTGGGCCGCACAGCAGGAGGTGAGTGGCGGGCGAGCGAGCAAAGCCTCATCTGTATTTGCAGCCGCTCCCCAGCACTAGCATCACCACCTCAGCTCCACCTCAGATCAGCAGGCATTAGATTCTCATAGGAGCACTGGTTCCTGGTCCCAGCGCTAGCATCACCGCCTCAGCTCCACCTCAGATCATCAGGCATTAGATTCTCATGGGAGCACCAGTCCCTGGTTCCAAAAAGGTTGGAGACCGCTGCCCTAAAATATTGCACCTAAACCTAATCAAGTCTCTAGTTCTGAACTAATAGTTTGCAGAAAATACAGAAAGAGGAGGGGAGATAAAGCCAATAAGTTAAGCAACATCATGAGGAAGCAGCCAGTCAAATCAAGAACATGGGGCATTTATAGGACATAGGTTCCAGTTTCTTAACAAATAAATGGTATAAAAAGTGGGGAAAGGAGGATTGCTACAGAATTTAAAAATTTTAAGAGACAAAACAGTCAAATGCAAAGCATAGATCCTGCTTGGATTTTGAGTCAAACAAACCAAGAAAATGACATTTTTGAGAAATTTGAGAAATTTGGATATGGGTTTTAAGTAATAATGAGAAATTGTTAATTTCATTAAGTGTGAAGGTAGTTATATTTTTTTAAAAAGTTCTTATCAGTTGAAAGTGATGCATATTGAAGTATTTAATGATGAGATGACATGATTTCTAGAATTTGCTTTTAAATATGCCAACAAGGAATAAAGGGTGGGTGGGTATCAGAGGAAATTTGTTTCACAAAAATGTTGATATGTATTGAAGCTAACTAAGGAAGCACTTTTGTGTTTTTTGTTCCGTAACAAAAAAGTTTAAAAATCAGTTCATTGGGGTATAAGTGCTTTCTCTTTAATATGTGAAATTCTCACTCTTAGGAACATATTGAAAAACCCTGGCTAGAATCTTACAGATCCTATGTCCAAATAACGGAGGATGAGACACCACAGCGACTACCTTTTTATACCCTTTAAAGTCCATTTTACACATAGATAGCCCAAAAAGTAACATGTTTGAAATTATGAGTAAGCCATAAAACTCAAAAGAAAACAATAAAGTTGTAAGTTTTGCTAATTATTAGTTTAATTTCTAATTTTAACTAAGCAGTAGAAACAGTGATAAATAAATATACCCGATGATGGAAAACATATGGAGTGATTCACATATTTATATATTCCTGGTAATAAAGTTAAATGTTATTATTCTTTTGGAAAGCCATTTGATAATGTGTATCAATAATTAATTTAAAAAAATAGATATCTCAATCCTGGAATTAATCCATACAAATGACTCAAAAGAAGAGAATATTATGTTTAAAGATATTCATTGCAGCACTACTAAAACATCAGAAGTAATCTAAATATACTATTATGAATACATTTAGTTGTTTCCAATATTTGAAACTATAAATAATGCTTTTCAGGTGTATAATCTTTTATAATTTGCCTATATAAAGACCTGATGGAATAATTGATAAAATTATTGTCATAAAATTATAAAACTATATGGAGACTTAAGCAAAAAAAGGGAATTTTAAGTATACTATAACATATATATGCATAAATATTAATAAATATAGAAAAACATTGGTAGAAAAAAAATTTATATTGTATTGGTTTAAAAAGGTAATAAGTTATAAGTGAAAATTTCTGCAGTCTTTTTATTGTCTTTACATTTAAAAATATATATAATAAACTAATTCATCTTCAAGTTCTTATTCAAATGATATGTTCCCTCTGCTTTGAAAAGTGCTTTCCCAGGATACCCAGATGTTTGGGTACTTCACTCAGGGGTTTGCTTAAGAGAACAATTGACCTGACCATCCTATCTCAAACAGCATCTTATAACGAACTCACTCTCTCTCTTTCTCTCTCATTAGTTAGTTGGCTAGTTGAATTATTGTCTGTCTCCCTCTCTAGAATACAAGCACTATGAAGGCAGGAACTTTGTTTTTTTGTCACTGTCTCCCTAGTACCAAAAATGGTACCTGACGCATACATAGTAGTTGCTCGATAAATATTTAGTGATGAGCAGTCATGTGAACAATATTACAATAGCAAAATCAACAAATTACAACAGCAAAATTGAGACCACCAGCTCCAGAAGTAAGTTGTCTAGAATCTCACCTCAGGGTTAACTAGAATATGTACAAACATGTGAACTTTTCTATGCTAAAGAAATCTCCTTAGCATCTACTAGGAGAGTCTACCTTAAACGAAGATGACTAAGAAATCCACTTATACAGCACCTGCTTTGTACTTGTTCCAACTGAGAGCTCTACCTACAGTACTAAATCGAAATTAGATTCTTCACAGCGACACCCTCTCACATTTCACAAGTGAGAAAAGGGAAGCTTAGAGAACTCATATATTACCAACTTGTCAGTGGAAGAGCTGAGGTTCAAACCTAGGCCTAACGTCAAAGCCTAACTTGGATGTCACATGCCTAATTTAGATGCATCCTGACCTTGACAGTATCAGCTGAGCCCAAATATCATAACTTAGTAGCTTTGTAAATATGAGTGCTCTACCTCTGCCCCATTAAAACAGCATGTAAGCAAAGCACGCACAGTGGACTGGAAAGCAGCCCACTCAAGAACATGATTTCTAGAAATTCACTTTGATAGTAGCAGCCAGATCAAAGAAGGACTATAGGAGCAGCTAGAGGTGGGGACCCAAATCAGGTAGGTGTCGTTTTTCCATGATCCCGATTTGATATGACTTGCTTCATTCGATTATGCTGTCTCGGAAAAGCACTCAGTTTAACGGACTTCTGAGGCCTGTAGACCTAAGAATCTAAACCAATAATTTTATCAGCTGTCCTGCGTTCTTCTCCCCGAGACACAGAAGAGCTCACTTTACTTTTTTCACTTTATCAAAGAATGTCTAGAGTCTGTGCGAAGGCCTACTCTTCTTTTAAGAAAAACAAAGCAACATGCATGGCCATCTTTCTTGCTGTTGTGTGGCACAACATTTCTCAAGAGGCTGGTGTGCATCTATCACTGCAGAGCATGTCAATACGCAGATCGCAGGCTGGGCCCCACCCTCAGAGTTTCTGAGACAGTAGGTCTGGGATGGAACTCGAGAGTTTGCATTTTTGACAAGTCCTCGGGTGATGCAAACGACCTAAAACTGAGCTTGCCTACAAGTCGGTGTTACTTGAGGAAACCCTAAGACATACCAACTAATCTCGGAATGACTTTCATCTAGGCATCTGCAGGGTAGCTGGTCACAAGAATGAGACAGCAGGGAAGTGACAGCCTCTGTTTGAACTCAAGTAAGTCTCAGGAGAGAAATCAAAAGCAATCAGCCAAACTTTCTGTGATACCCCTGCATTCAGTATCCAATAAATTGAGAAAGTTTCAGCGCTTACTTTCCTGGAAGCTCTCTCTGGGGCCAATTACTTCTGAAGGATGGATGAGAGACACTAACAATTAAAAGTGTCACAGAGAGAAGGAGGTGCTGGGCCACAGGGGAAATCAGGGAGCACCAGCACGGCCTGGATAATGAACAATTAGAAAGAAAGACGAAGGCACCGAAGACCTAGTCCCTACAGGAGGATGCTAAGGCCTGATGTGCTTATCAACTTGAACCTTAAAGAAGAATTCCCTGAGCCGAAACAAAAATGCAGAAAATTTAATTTCCCAAAAGGCTCAATCGTTAAGCTGTCATTATAGAAACTCTGTGTGTGACTATGTGACTTGGGGTAAAGCAGGATGTCACCCAATTAATAGACTAACCATATAGTAAGAGACCTATTTACAGAAAGCAAAGGATATAAACAAAAATACTACCCAAGAGGAGCTTCTGATTAATAAATGGCATTTTTATCAGTTGTCTAAATAGGTACATATCCTAGGTGTGGCATTGTATTTATGTAAAGTCCTAAATGACCCAATCAACCTTGTTTGTTTAGAAATGGCCCAAACCAAGAACAGTGAGAACTAGCTACCTTCATGGTGCTTCCTGGTCATCCTATGGATTGGATAGTTTTCTTTTGTATATGACTTATGTCTCTCGAAATGTGTCTGTATCCTGTTTCTGTTCTATCCCAGTGTTCACTTGCTGACTGTTCTATCCCAGTGTTCACTTGCTGACTGTTCTACTCAACTAACTCTCAGAATTCTATGGCTACCAGTACCATATAAATTCACCATGACACATTTCAATATGCTTTAGATTAAATCTCAATGAAAAATGCCACGTAACTGAAGTGCAGTTGAGAAATGAAAGACCTAATGATTTGTGAAAAGCAGTGAACAAGCTTCAGTGAAGAAGCAAATTACTACAAAGCACTTTGCTAGTGGATTACATTCTTGCTACTCGATTCAGGTTTATCTTCACGTAAAGTAGATCACGTTGGTGCCAAGAAAGTAAAAAGATCTAACAGCAGAATTGGAATGGAGTGTCAGTCAAGGGGCAGTTACGATATTGTAGAAAAAACACAGAACTTGCAGAAATAAGATCCGAATTTAAATTCCAATTCTTTGACCTTCCGGTTGCATGACTTTAAGAAAATCACTTTACCTCTTTGAGTTCAGTGTTTTCATCTATAACCAGGTAACATGTGGAATAAAATTACTCTCACAAGATTGTGGTGGAGATTAAGTAAATAATAGTGAGAAATATACAAAATAATATGCCCATTATTAAGAGAGTCCCTGTTGGCCAGGGACATGACGCGTGAGATTATCTTCACTCCCTCTTGAAACATCACTAACATGATAGTTAAAGAATTGTTTAAAATAGAAAGACTCACAAGGAAAAGGAGAAAAGGAGAGGCGATGCCACAGGTGAGATATCAATAAAATTTTCAAAAATTTAGAGTAGGTATAAGAGTGGCAACTAGCTTGGCAAAAACGAGAAAACTGAAAGCTACATCTCTACCAAGGAGAGGTACCAATAAAACTGACGCCATCCAGAGCGTCATAATATCAGGGGGGCTCAGGAACTGAATGTATAAAACAGTCTTCAAGGCTGGAAATGAGATTGGTTGCAAGTCTGAAGAGCTGTTGGACAGGTGGAGGCCATAATCCCCTTCCCTGGCCTCCTGTAGCCTTTTAAAGAGCCCACCAGGGGAGAGAGTAGCTATCACTTGAAATAACTTGGGAGCTTTAGCTATTGCACAGACTGAATTACCTAAGGACTCAGTTTCTTGTTTTGTGTTTTAAATTGATTTTCTACTTAGACCTGTTTGTTAAGAGTAATCAGAAAAGACATGGAACTGCCTAAGTTTTTATTTAGGAGAGAGAAGAAAACATTCCCCATTGAGTTACTTCTGAAAGGACAGGAAAAGACAAAATAAAGAAGCTTTCTGATTCTATGCATGAGTCATATTTGTTCAAAACAAATATAAAAAGAAGTCAGGAAAAAAATCAAGACAATTCAGAAAACAAAAGGGACAAAAAACCTGCAAAAAGAGAAAAACAGATCACACAAAAAGGATCAGTAATAAGAACAAAATCTTAATAAAAACTTCTCAACAATAGAATCTGGAAGACAGTGAAGCAAAGACATCAGAATTATGAGAGAAAAGAGTTTCCACCTAGAATTCTATACCCAGGCAACAGAACAAAACTATTTTCAGAGATTCAAGGTCTCAAAAATTTTACCTCCTATCCATTCTCAGGAGCTACTAGAGGAGGTGCTCCACCAAAATAAAGACAGTAACATGCACAAAAAGCCATGTGATCTGAAAACCGAGGATCCAAAGAGGAAAACAGTAATAGGAATCACCAAGATAGAGACCCAGAATAACTGCTCCTCAGCAGGCCTGAGGAGAAACCATTTCAGGCTAGAGCAGGGGGATGAAAGTCTCCTGGACCAATGTCCACAAGAAAAAACAAATGAAACTGACCTTTCGTCACATGTGGTTGACCATTTTGAGAAGGATTTTACAGTTCTGTCAGATAAATTAGCGATAAGTACAATGAAAATTAAGCTAATGGAAAAGGTATCCAAATATTAACTTTGAGAAAAAACAAATTTATACGAAAAGGAAACCATGATTATAATGATACTAATTATTATCATGTCTCCATATGCCAGGCACTATTCTCAACACTACTGGTATTGTCTCTTAAAATCCTCAAAATGATCCTATAAAATAAGCATTTTTATTAGGCCCATTTTACTGATGAGGAAAGTGATGTACAGAGAAGTTAAATGACTTGAATAACATCATATAGATTTGAACCTGGCAGTCTGACTGCAAAATCCGTGCTCTACTATAATCCTAGTCTGCTACCTGGCTCAACTGTGAGCAATATGTATAAAATCATCTGCATGTACATGCTGAACACTGATCTGACCCGACTATATATTGAGAGGATGGAGGGGAGGGGAAATATGTTGGTGGTAAGGTGGGATAGTTATAAAATTTCTAAATCCTCATGTCCCCTAGTAAAAAGTGAATATACAATGATTCAAATTGGGGGGATCAATCTATAGTTGTATATTATTTAAACCACAAGTAAATAACAGAAAAAAAGTTTTAAAAAATCAGAACTTGGGGTGGAGAAAATCTAAAAAATCTAGATTTGGGGTGGAGAAAAAAGAAGCAGGGGTCAATCTTTTTCACTATTACCCTTGAAGTAATGTTCGAGTTTTTAAACTAAGCATTCATATTTCTTTGATGAAAAAATTCAATTTACACAAAATTTATAAATGTTGGAAAAAGGGGGAGAGGGATGACATCTCGTAACTGAAATGGGCCCTTGGATGGTAGTGACAGGAACCTGGTCTATCATGGTGGATCAAGGAAGGCAGATCAAGGTACCCCGGGTCGTACCTTCTGCACCAAACACCTCTCCACAGTGAGAGCAGAAAAAATGCTCTGGGTGCCAGGTTTGGTTCATCGCCGTCAGCACTTTCTAGAAAAAGAACACACACAGAGAGAGATGAGAATGCCACAGAGATGTAAAACGTAACTCCGGTTCTAAATGAGTGAGTACGGGCTACGTGAAAGCAGGGGGAGAGGGGTTTACTTACATCCAGGATGGGTGCGGCACAGTAAGCACAGCGTGGAGAGAAAAGATGGTGGTAGTCCTCGGAACAGTAGGCCAAACCACTCCGCTCAAAGAAGGGACTGGAGCCAATCTCTTCTTTGCAGTGACTACAGACGAAGTGCTCTGGATGCCATGCTTGCCCTAGGGCATGGATGACCTGGAGGATGAAACAAAGCCTGGCACGGGAGCCCAGCAGGATGAGCTAGGGCCTGTGGGTTGCACAACTCTGGAGGGCCCTCTTCACATAGCGCTCTATGTAAATGGCACTCCCTGGAGACACGCAACACTGAGGCCTGGACCTAGGTCCTCCCTGTGCAGCCTGTTGTCCGTGCTTTGGGAAAAGGGTGCCCGCTTCCCTGACTGCTCACGTTGATAACGCCTGGAAGTGTTTGTTATGGCCATACTGCCCCAGAGGGCGGGAGAAACAGAATAGAGCACAGCAGTGACACACAAGAGATGACTACAGCCTTGGTGTGAAAGGGATCCCTGGAAGGGGAAAAGGACAAATGACAGTTTTCACTCCCCTGATCTGAACATCTCACCTTACGCCCCATGCAGACAGGTCTCACAGACCTTTATTATGGTTTTGGTGAAGGATGATGCAGAGCAGGGGTTGTAGCCATGATTTGAAGCTGAATGCGGCTGAAAATTGTGTTCAATCGATTTAAATTGGGGATGTTTGAACAGAAGGAGCAGTGAGAAAGTCACTTTCAGTAAAGGCAGTCCAGAAAAGTGGTTGAGAGCTCAAACTCGGGAGTCAGAGTCTCCTGGGTTCAAATCTTAGTTCTACCTCTTACTAGATTTGGACCTGTCAGTTAATGTCTCCTGAGCCCTCAGTTTCCTCATCTTTACAAAGGGGACGATAATAAGTCTTCCTTAATGGAATAATGTGACCATTAAATGAAGGGATACTTGCAAAGCACTTAGCTCAGTGCCTAGAGCACTGTAGAGTGATCAGTAATGAGTAACTATCACTAAAACATCTTAGAACATAAGGAAAAAGAGCAGTCCTTGGTAGGACAGACATAGATGGCTATAGGACCAACACTTTGGCCCTTCCCACCTTTCCAGCAATCGGCTTCCGGCAGGAAGCACAATGGCCCTTGGGCACTGTGGCAATTCCAAGGTCCTGCAATTCCTGCTCCAAACCCCCTAGCATCGAGTCCAGGGAGGCCTTGTGATCCTGCTTGTCTGGTAAGTGCTTCTTGCTGTCATCTGCTTTCACTGCAACCTGGTACCGAGGAGAGAACCATGAAGAAAGTCAACCTCTTGGATGTTTATCCTCATTGGCATCTTCTGCCTGATCCTATCAGCTCACCTCTACTGACTGACCCTTTAGTCTTTCCTGAACTTTCCTCCAAGGCATGGAAAAATTCAACACTGTAATACTAATCAAAATGCTTTCATTCTTTTTCATTCTAAGTTCCTCAGGACTCAGGAATGAAATCTGACTAATCTTCCTTCATTTGTAAATCTTTTTGACCTAGAAAAATGAATAGATGAAGATGATACCTTTTCTGGCTCTTATGGTGACCACAGGTCCACGATTAATTTTTTTATTCATTTATTCTATAATGTTTATTGTGCACCTAGTTTGTGCCAATCACTGCTCTAGGCTCATGAAGTTTACATTTTCTGGGTAACAGACAATAAACAATTAAATAAATATATGATGTAATGTCAGGTAGAAATAAGATATGTTATATACTGAGATAAAAGCGACAGAGAGTGAGATGGTGAGGAAGAATTGATTTAGACACAGGTGATCAGAGAAGGACCTCTAAGGATGTGATATTTGTACAGACATTTGAGTGATGTACTTAGGGACACAGAAATATTGATATTTGTGGGAAAAGCATTCCCGAGGGAGGGGAGACCCAAGGGAAAGAAAGAGTTTGGTACATTTGAAGAATAGCAAGAAAGGTCAGTGAGACTGGAGCAGAGGGAGTGAGACTGACTGTGGCAGGAGAAGATAATGGAGAGAGAGGCTAAGATCTCAACAATCACATTTTTACCCTCATGGTAAAAGCTTGGGTTTTATTCAAGGGAGACAGAACCATTGGAGGGCTTCAAGCATGAGAGTGAAAGAATCTGATTTATAAGACCCTGCGGTAGCTGAGAAAGGAATGAAGTGTAGAATGGAACTAGAGACATTAGGTAGGTGGGAGACTATTATGATCACTCAAACCAGAAATAATGACTTAGACCAGTGTTAGCAGAGAGGGTGGTAAGAAGTTGTCAGATAAGACTTGCTGAGGGATTGTACTTATTTAAGCAAAACTCCAAAATAGTTATTGTAAAATGTTCAAAGGAAAAGGCTCAAATTACAAAGAAGATGCTCAATTTATCCTTCATCAACTCATGTCCTGATTCCATCTCTCCCAACTCCTTTCCAATCAGGCTACGGCTCTATCTAATACTCCTCGATCAGAAAACTACAATGGCTGTCCATCGCTTCTGGCATCAAATCTGCACACATCATACAGGTGTTCAGTCTCCCACCCGCTCCCCTCGCTTTACCTGTTCAATCTCATCTTTCATCACTCAGTAAAAAGCCTCCATTGTTTAAGGACAGTCAGGGGCTCTGCAGTCTCCTGAACGTGATCTGTTACGTGATCTGACTTCAGGCCTCTACTTATCCTATTTTTCCTGACAGGAATAACCTCGCATTATCTTGCTAATCCAAAATACTCATTTCCCTTCAAGGAACTTTTATCATCTGACAGATTTCCTTCCTCTCTTGTTATATAATGTTAGTTAATGTTGAAAAGATTAGTGTTCAAAAGGTTAATGTCTAAAAAGCCTGAAAAGGTGACCAGAATTAAATATGAATAATAACTAAGTAAAAACAATAATATATCTATTTCTACATCTGCATTTACATCTGCATCTATTTACTTGTGTGTTCCAGAGTACATCTGAATAGATAATGTAAGAAACCGGAAATACTGACTACCTCCATACGACAGAACTGGGTGGCTGGGGACAGAGCCAATAAGGAAACAGTTCACTGTAAACTTTTGTTACTTTTGATTGTTGTACAATGTGAATGTATGGCCTATCAAAAAATAAACAGCTATTTTTTTAATGTAAATAAACCAAGACACATGCTAAATCAATTAGAAAACACCACACAATTAAAAGTCCTAATGTAGAATATTTTTCTAGTATTTCCAGGTATATGGCACAATGAGGAATGCACTCAGCTTTATGGTGAACGTTAAAGAAAATTTGTTTCTGATGTTTATTCATTCGTCCCTCTAATAAGCACATATTATTCACATTGTGTCAGAAACTGTGCTGGGCATTAGGAGTCCAGAGGTGAGCCACAAAGATAAGGTTCTTGCCCCGTCCCCATTTTTATATACTGCCTTGAAATTATTTCATAGCCACCTCATGTGTGCATATCAAATCCTCCAATTAATTTAGAATGGTCGGATTCCCTACCTTAAGAATTCTAGATGATATTTCCCTTAAATTCTTAAGCCCATTTATCTGATTTGCATTCCCTGCCTGCCACATGAGCTTGCCACTCATGCCCTGGAGGCTAGAGCAAGGAGTTGGATTTTATCTCAATATGGGGCTCAGGACTCCTCATGCTTATCGTCAAAGCGACACTCTGATTGCCCTTGCTCTGCCCCAGGTTGTGCACAAGCTCTGCTCTGCCCTGCTCAGGCAGGTCCTCTTACCAGTCCTGTCACACTTCATTTGGCCTTGCTGCTGATGCCCTCAGGGCTTGTCCCAACTAGAGCACTTCCTCTCTCATCTCTATCATCCAAAGGGAGAATGTGGAGCTGGGTTCCAAAAAGATAAAGCCTGAAGGCTTTATCACAGGGACTGTGCTCACCTTGGCCTGCATTTCACACAGGTGGGCCATGAGCTCATCCAACTGAGTGGCTGCTGAGGTTTTAGGAGGTGGTGGTGATTCCTTCCGCTCTTGAATCTCACTATAAGGAGAAAACAAAAAATCAGACAAACACATCAAAACTCAAACAATGTTAAGCTCCACATTCCCCTTTAGGAACACTTCTAAACTGTCATTCATTTTCCCAAAATAACTTAATTCGACGGATGAACTCGATTTTGTGCTATGTATTTATCTGGACACAAAGATACTATGATCCAGGCTCTGATCTCAAGGAGCTTAAAGTTTGCTTGGCAAAATAAGGCATTAGCTTCTGTTAACACTCATAAAACAAAATACAGGTGGTTTCTTAAAGTATGCGGAACAGACATTAGGAATGTAGAGAGGTCAAGGAGAGTTTATCAGAGGTGGGCATGGGGGTGTGGGATGGCCTCTGAAGAATGGAAAGGGTTGTGAAGGCAAAGAACATTGTAGGGGGAGGGCAGGGAGAAGGAGAGAGAAGCTTAAATAAAAACAGCAGAAATGTGTTTAAAAATACCATGGCTAGGTAGTGTTTATACCAGTCATCCAAGGATAGTTCGACATTATGAAAAGGATTAATACAATTCATTATAGTAACAAGAGAAAAATTTAAAAACATATTGATAGGTGATGAAAAGCAGTTAAAAACAAATTCAACCACCATTCCTATTGTTTAAAATCAAGGGAAAAAAATTTCATAATTTGATAAACTACATCTATAAGAAATGATAAAGAGCCTTATATTTGAGAGTGGAATACTAAGCATGTTTCTAATTGAGAGAAAAGGACGAGAATCCTACTATCACTGCTGGTCTTCAAAATTATTCTAGAATGCATTATCAACTGTATTTAAAAGTAAAAATAAGAGATGTATATATTTTGAAGAAAAAGGCAAAGCACTCTCCTATTTTCTTTTTAAATAGATGATATGATCATATACCCAGACAATATCAGGTAAATGATCTAACAATTATTATAATGAATAAAAATATCAGGATGGTGACTAGATAAAAGAATAAAATGAAATAATTAGTATAACAGTTAGTATCTTTTCTATAGACCAGCAGTGACCAATTCGAAAATCTAATGAGAAGAAAAGAACGTTTATACAATACTAATAAAAAAAAGATTAAATATTAAAGAATACATTTAACACAAAATATGTAAGATTTCTATGAAGAAAAAACACTGGCAGATATAAAAGAAGATCCACAGAAATAAAGATACATGATACGATGTCAGTTTCCCCCAATTAAACCGTAAATGCAATGCAATTCATGTAAAAATCCTAATAGAATTATTCATGTTAATTAATAAGCCAATATTAAAATTCATAGGCTAGAATAGTCAAGACAAATTTGAAAAAGGAAAAGAAAAAGAAAGAAGACTTGTCCCAATAGATGCAAAATCCTATAAAGTGATAATAATTAAATTTGTGTGAAATGAATAGATCAAAAGAGTGGACTAGTGAACCCAGATACAGACTCCTATGACACTGCCTATGATAAACATGTCATTTAAAATCATCAGAAACAGACTCCAAAGGTATGACAACCTATTTGGAACACAGTAAAGTTAGATGTGTAACACACTATACACATGAGTAATTTTTAAATGAATTAAATATATAAATATTTTTAAATATAAAAATACTAGAAGAAAATGGATAATATTGTTTATAATTTGGGGTGATGAAGACTTTCCTAAGGCATAAAACTCTAAAGTGAAGTCAAAAAAGAAAAATATCAACAGTGTAAAAAATTTTTAATAAGTAAATATTTAAAACAAATAATATAAAAAAGTCTCTAAATCAATAACAAAAAGACACCCCAATAGAACCTGAGCTAAGGAAAAAAAGGCAAATTTCAAAAAAAGAAATTTGAATGTTAACTATATAAAAATATGCTCATTCTCAATCTTTAAAATGCAAATTAAACAGTGAGTTACCAATTTTTACCCATTAGTCAAAATGCTGAAAGATTGACAATTTTCAGTGTTGGCAAAAGTCAGCATTATATCTACACATACACATTTACGTATACCATAGGTAGCTATGTAATTGTATAATATCCTTTGCAAGGCAGCAACTATCAATATTTCAAATGTAAATACCAATTTCACTTCCAAGACTCTACCTTAGAGAAAAATTGGACATATCTATAAAGTAATTACAAAGACATTCCTTAATATACAAAACAATACAGTTTTTATGAGCAAATGAAAACTAAACCAAATGGAGATATAGTCAAATAAATCATGGTTTATTCGCACTATGGAATACCACGCGCTGCTAAAAAGAATGCAGACATAGATTGATATGACCTAAGGGAGACTTTGAAGATACACTGTTAACACAATAAAGCAAATCCAAGGAAATTATGAAAAATCCTTCCATTTATGTAATTTTATAAGCACATAGACATAAATGTGAATATGCATACACAAAGGTATATAAGGAGACATCCCTGACAGCAGCAGTTACCCATAAAGCTGGCATTCAGGTGCTGGAAGAAAGACTCCAGGAGAGGTAGGCTAGCTTTATTCTCTGTATATTTCTGAATTCTTTAACTTTTTTTAAGACTATTTTTTAGAGCTGTTTTAGGTTCACAGCAATATTGAGCCGAAGGTACTTCTTTGACTTTTTATATAATGAGTTTATAAAATAGTTGTGTATATATTGTTATATTTGCAAAAAAAAAAAAAGGTCACTGATACCAGGAAAGAAGTAATATACATGGCCAACAGGTGAGGTGGTAGGGGTGGCGGATGGAGCATCATAGTGCAGTTCTCACGTATGTCTGAGTTATACACATGCTCATATTTATATGTCATGATTCTATAAGTGATCTTCAGTAAATGACATTAATATGGTCATGATATTGTGATTCCTACTAAAAATTCTTCTTAAGGATAAAATTAATATACTAAATGTAGAAAATTTTAAAACTGCAGAGGAATATAAAGAAAACATCTGAACCACACATAATCCTCTTTTTGAGAGGCAATTAATTCCTCTACACATGTTGGCTTATAGCTTTACGATATTCTATGATTGTGTGTAATTTTAGAAAATTAGAATGATTTTTTTCATGTTTTAAAGTGAACATTTTCCCATATCCTTATGCACATCTTTTTCTGTCCTTTGCAATCACAATAGCTAACATTTATTGAGTGTCCACACTAAGCCAGGCCCTCTGTAAAGAGTTTTACACATATCCTCATTAAATCCTCATAACAATCTTAAGAGTAAGGTATTGTCACTCCTAGAGGAAAAAAAAAATGGGGCTTAGAGAAGATAAAAACATTGCTCTACATAACACAGCTAGTAAACAACAGAGTTTGGGCCTATAGACTGCAAAGCTTATGTTCCCTCTCACCATGCTAAACTATCCCCCAAAATGATGTTTAAAGGATATGTAAGTTTTCAAATGTGTAATGTGTCATGGTTTATAAAACCAATTATCTATTGTTAGACACCTAGATTGTTTACAACTTTTGCTATTATCGATACTGCTAAATAAATATTTGCACCCATATTTATTTATTTCCATAGAGTAAATTTTGAGAAGTAGAAAAACTGAGTCATGCAGGCAACTGACTCGAGTAACGTTTATAATCAACGTTAATCAAGAGAGCTCAGCTAACGCCCACCAAAGCGGCCCTCCCCTTCTCTTTTCTCTCTCTCTCGCATGCACAGCTATAGATAAAACCAACTATTCTAAGTTTTTCACTAAATATATTTTCAAAAATAAAAACACAAATTGACTACTTTACTTATTTTTATGTAACTACCAACCAGGATACAAGTAGAAGAAATATGGCTCTCTCCTCTCTTAAGGAAAGAGGACTCTCTCTTGGGTTGGGTACATGTCCAACTACTGACTGACTTACATTTGATTACTTAACAACAGGAAAATGTAGGAGGAAAGTGGAAATCTACCCCTCTTAAGATAAAAGACTTTGCCTTTTAGGTACAACATGGCCTCTTTCCAGACATCAGATTTTTTTTTTTTTTAAATCTGGAAACAAAAATGGTCAGGTATACAAGTGATTGATTCATTCCTTGGAGGTTCCAAGAAAGTGCAAAGGAGCGGGTCCCTCACAACTCTTTTCAGTCATAATCCCTTAGTAATTGCTGCCACAGGTATGTGTCTTGGAAATACAAAAGGTGGCTGGACTGTGAGCACATTCTTCTGGCCTGTGCCCCGGCATAGTATAAGTGTAGTTTTTAATGTGGGTTTGTACAATTCTGAAAGCCTGTCCGTCTCACAGTTGGGACATACTTGTGTTTATTCAAAGAATTCTTGCTGTGTTTTTAACCAGACTCCTAGTGCAATGAAAAAAGGGAAGTAAATCATTGTCATGATACCCTAATGGTAATTGAGTCAGCAATATGACATTCTAAGTAAGAAATGAGAGCTTTCAAAGATTGATGATTAGATCACTACGGGAAATGTTCTCAAGAGAGGAACCTCAAATTAGAGCTCCTTTGATTTGTCTGCTTACTTCTTGAAAACAGTAAGGGTAGTTTGCTAGGCCAGCAGCAACAACTTACTTCATTACTCAGGGATTTTAATAATATAAATCACAAGAGATGTGTTTCAGAGAATCCAGACTTCTCAAGTGAGGGGCTTCATTGTGCTGGATTTTTTCCCCTATTCATTCCTGTTTTTATGAATTGTTTCTCCCTCTTCTTACCAAAATTATTTTCGTACTTATAAAAAATACATTTCTAAATTATTGGTCATAATGTTAATAATATATAATAATATATAACTTACATTAGAAGTATTTTTACATTGCTATATTCACAACTGGTATTGAATATACTTTCAAGGTCCAAAGTAATGTTTGCTTCATTTAAGCAAATCAGAGGAAATGGTAAACACAGAATGTAAGAATTCTAGTTTCTATCTATGCATGTCAGACTGGTCCACTCTGAATTATACAAGCCTCAGAGATTTGTACCAATCTATTATATATCTACTGAGTCACCTGGATTTTGTATCAGTCTCCCACAAAGGTCTGCAAAGCAAGTATCATTCAGTAATGGGAAGGGTATCAGCTAAGGTCCACTAAGAATAATATAAAAACTGGGAGTAAACAGGAGAAATTTAATACAGAAATTTGATTACACAAGTGATGGGAGAGCTAAAAAGCAAACAGAGGACACTGAGGGAACCCAGAGATTAGCCACGGCAGGAAGTCATTAGGCCACAGCAACAAAGCAAAGAGGCAAGTTACCAGAGCCCCGGGGCCCAAGTCAGCAGCACAAGCTGGAATCACAGCTGAAGCCATGAAGGAGATAAAACTGCTGACAGAGACACTGTGGGGGGAGTGTGAGATTGGGGGAGAAAACGCCTTAAATTTCCCTGCCTCTCGCCCTCCAGTCTCCCCACAATGCTTCCCATTGGTTGAAGCCAGTGAGAGAAAACTGGCCTGGAGCCTAGAAAACACCGCCTACAGGGGTTGGTTCCCCTGTTATACAGAGCAGAGAAGGAGAAGGGGGACAGATGGGTCTGAGAGGAGCTAGATCAAAGACTTACTATGGGGGAGGGCCACCGGCAAGTTAGTATTGTTGTGCCATCAATTGCTCAGAAGACAGATCAGAGAAATGGCTGCTGGTTGAGCTGGTTTTCATGTTATATGTTCATTAGTGTCCCCATCAAAGTCTAGGCATCCTGGATTTAAAAAGCTAAATATGTACTATGAGTCTATTGTGTGCTGGGTACTGTTTTGTTGTTGTTGTTGTTGTTTTGCTCTGTTTTGATTTTTTTTTACAGAGGGGTTGACAGGGAGGTCTAGGGGGTCTGCCCCAGGCAACTTCTCAGAACGGGAATTAACTGGCAGTTGTATTAATATATTAGCCTCCATCCCATCAGAGTAGAAAGTGGCCTCAAGTGGGAAGTTATAAAAAGACTTCTTGATAACGCAGGTCCTTCCCTTATGTGGTGTCAGGCATGGGCCACTGGCTGCAATTCTGAAACTAAGGTGTGGTGCAGTACTCTGTACTGAGCATGAGCCGTGACTGTCTACATTTTAAGACCTTTGTTTCCCAGAGAGTTGTCTGATTTTTAAAACTGCACCTGAAGACAGAATGAGGAAAGTGGCCTTCTAATTTTTTCAGACTGTTGTTACTGCTTTGGTCAGCAGAAACGATTTAGTAAATGGATCTGTTTCAAAATGTAACTTTTGTGAAAAAGGAAGTCCTTCCATCCACTAAATAAATGCTGAGCAAATATGGAATGAAACAATATACACTCATCAGTCTGTCATGGAGACCCACTACCTTAGTTCAGCCCTGAACTAAGTAAGACCCACTCTCTTAGTTCAGCTCCTACTCTGTTGGCATCTTGCTGAAATTTCTGTTGGTGGCCTGGAATAGCTGGGCCAAACATCTGTGATGGTTCGACCTATTTATACTATTTCAGGTGGTGAAGGAAACAGAAGAGCCCATCAGCCTGGATACCCATCTAGAAGCCAGGCGCCTTGGGACACTGCCAAGTCAGCCTGGCCGAATTCCACCTCTGCTCGAAGAGTATGGAGAGAGGAGGAAGGTGGTGGGCAAATTCTAAGCAAATTTATGTCCAAACGCAGACTGAATAATCATCTAATAACTTTAATTTTTTCAAGTATTTAATAATAAAAAAATACCTGTAGACATTGGGTTCCTGGATACTGGTAGTATACACGAGCTGCACCTAAGACAGAGTGACAGAGAACAAAGAATAAATTCCTGTTAGTAGAATGTCAGCACTTATCTACACCCAGAAAGAGAGGATGTTTCTAGCTTGATAACTAGCATATCTCTGAGACCTTCTTTTAGAAGGCAGAAGAATACCAGCCACCCCA